ATCTGTTTTCTGGTTTTTCCCTCCAAATAGAATCTCTTTCTCTTCCTCTTCTGGAAATATTTGTAGTTTTGGAGTGTTGCTCAGCGGTGTCCTGAAATGGTTTTCAGACCTTTTGTGATACTTGTCTTGCATACCCTCTATCTCTGAGACATTCCACAAAGAAATCAGTGAAATCATTAGGAAATGTACACTGACCACTAGAAATGTCATGTAATGGATTTGGTTTTTTTATGATGATCAATTTTAAATTTCTTTATTCTCCCTATGCTCTATTTTTCTGTCCTACATAGATTTGCTGTATTGTTTCATAAATATGCTCAACGCATATGTACAGAATAATGTTCTCCACCCCACTGCAGTTTTAGGCATGCTTCAGACCAACGACCACAGAAAGCATTTCTGTCTTGGTTACCAGCTATCAGTCAAAGCTGTACTTTTAACACAGATTGGAGATAGGAACTGTGTCCATAAAGGGTTGACCTTGCCTTGCTTGCTTGCTTGCTTTCATACAGATGTAAAGCCTGCTTTCAGGATCCTGCATGTGCTATTCTGTGTAGTTTCCTATGCCATTCCTATTGCAGTATCTGAGTGCCTTAAGCAAGGCAGCTAATATCTGTCAGGTGTTTGAAGATGATGAGCTGCATAGCCTCATCTGAGGATCTTACTGTTTTTAGCAGATTTTTCTAAAATGGTGGAATTCATGCTGCTGAGTCTATGAGCTTTGGTTATTTCACTAGCCTTTCTGAGCTAGAGAGCTGAGTGCTTCCCTTGACTATTGAATCTCTTCACTAAGCCCTGAATTCAGCAGTCTTGTTATCTGTTGCAGCGGCCATGGCATGAATACGAGCACAACTTCCAGATCATGTATAAAGTGGGGATGGGTCATAAGCCTCCTATCCCTGAAAGGGTAAGTCCAGAAGGAAAGGACTTCCTATCTCACTGCCTGGAAAGTGATCCAAAGATGAGATGGACAGCTAGTCAGCTCCTCGACCATCCCTTTGTCAAGGTTTGTCATTTTGGTTTGGCTTTAGGATCATAGTGGGATACAAATCAGAAAGACCGGATGATTCTGTGAGCTGTAGGTACAACTGTGGGGCAGTATTTTGTACTAGGGTGTTATATCCAGAGAGTCATTGTAAAAATGCACACACAATGTTCGTGGTGGTGGCAAATGTTCTGGTTAGTTTCCTGGTTGCTAATTTTGATGGCTGCATTACCTCTGTCAAAGGAATGTTCTGCAGTGGATTTCTATGGGTGCTATCTGTGCACATCACACAAGATGCTCTGACCAGTTTTATTTAAGGGCTTTAAATATAGATTAAAGCAATCTGGACTCCCAGGTTTTTTAACTGTAAAAAAATAGGTTGTGAGAAGTTAACAGTAATAGCAACTGTGCTGTTAGTGGGGCTCCCACACGTATATGAGTACATTGACAATGATTTGAGTAACGAATGGCTGAAAAGTAAGTACCATAAATAAAAAGTAAATACAATATTCACCTGAATTCAAGGTGAGACTGAATTTAAGACAACCCTCCTCCCCCACATTGGATTGTATACATGGAAAATTATAATTTGTTTATACTTTTCAAGTCAGGAATCTAATTATTGGATGGTTGTGTTAAATTCACCCCATCACTGCAGGGGGGTGAGCAGTGGGGAGGCAAGTGACTGGGGAGAGGGAAAAGCAGCCTGACCCCCAGACTCTTGCCCCTATGCTAAGTGTTCACCTCCCTCCTCCTGCCTGCCCCCAGCCATTTGCCACCTGCTGCCCCCACCAGTGTATGCTTTGCTCCTGAGTGGTTCTGTGCTCACAGCGCTCTAGCTCAGCCAGGGGACTAGGAGCCGTGCAGGATCTACCAGAGATGCAGTGCTGATTCCCTCGCTGCTCTCTGGCTCTTATTTCCTCAACTTTGCTCTGGTGCAGGAGGGAGCCAGAGAGCAGCACAGGACCCAGCACTGCCTGCAGGTACTCAATTCTAAGTTGAGGCTTCATTTTTCCCATGAGGGGTGGACCTTGCCTTAGAATTGGGTAAATACAGTATATATCAGAAAGCCATACAGTGCAAGGTTCTGTGCTCGCTTAATGGTTCTTTTCTAGCTTTGTTTTCCTAGGGGTTTTTGGTGGCAGAATGGGATATTCATGGATGTTCCAGAAACATGGGATGAAAGGGCCCTGCTCACCTCAAAATTGTTTCTCATAGATATGTTGTTTAGTGGGATGGAAAGGCTTTGGTTCCTGCCATTTTTATCAGCTCTGTTGCAATTTTTATTGCAACTTTTGTTTGAACTATTTACCTGAAGATCTTTTAAGCTAATCTATGAATGACAATGGACTCATACAATCCCAGAGTCAGGAAAAGGACCCAATAGACTATCTAGCTCCTATTGGCCCTGGGGGAAGAGATTGTTTTCTGCAGTACTATTCTAGTTCAGGTAACATAGAGGAACATTTTCTTGCATAATCCCTACACCCTGGGTACTCCTCCATGGGACATGTTGCCAGGTAACAGGAAGTAATTGGAGGTAATGGTTTAGCGCAGGCTGTGATGATAGGTACAGTAGAACCTAAGTTATCCAAGTGGTGTGCACCCTATTTGGTTTTCAGCAGGTTGCCAAATCAAGAGCCACTTAGCTGTTTGCTGTGGCTTATACTTCAAAGGATGCTGCTTCTCCTGTCAGCCGAAGCACTGCCTGCTGTGGCTGTACTCCCTATTGGGTCACAAACTGGCATTTTCACAGAGACTGAACCCTGTGAAGAACCTGGGTATTACTGTTCTTTGTGTGTGTGCGTACACACATGCATGTGTATATATGTACCCGTGTACACAAGGAATAGTTTAAATGGCAAAAATATGTTAGCTATTCAATGATTCACTTTGGTGAGCAGGAAGAAGAGTAGACCTGTGGCATTTTTTTTCTCCCCCCACTGGAGTCCATGCAGCTTAGACTTGTGATTGCTGACCGTTTTGTGTGTCTTTCAGGTTTGCACAGATGAAGAATGAAGTTGCTCAGTCTCTGCCTTCTTGTTTCCTGGCAAAGCATCTGTTAATCAATCACTACTGTATGTAATATTTACATAAAGACTGTGCGGAGAAACAGTATAAAATTTAAACTTACCATGACTGAAGACTGCACAAGTGACAAGCGTCACTTCTTCTGCTGCTCCCGTATGTTTTACTTGGCACATGTTGCTCCTGTGACAGTGTCTGCAAGTTTAAAGAAGCTGCATGTTTCAGTGAAAGTGCCATTACTACTGTATATGGACCATTACCTTTTTTGTTCTTTCTCCTGTTTCTCATTTGATTGAGAACTGTAAGTTAATAGGTAGTATTTTTGAACTTTCTAGGTTCGAAAAAAGTTGTAGTGTTATCAGGCGTTATGGACCTTGTTTTTTAATCTCCTGTTTGTTGAGTGCACTGACTGTGAACTTTTACTCTGTTTTTTTTTTGTTTGTTTTTTTTGGGCCAGCTTCAGATTTGTTATGCAAAAGGCTGTTTAATGAAATTTAAAAAAAAAAACAAGTTTTCTCAATAAATGGTTTATTTTAGGAAGTTTTTTTCTGCGTCCTTTATTTCATTTGCTGGAGAGCCAGCTGATGTCTGTAACAAATACAAGACATTTTGAAGTGAAATGTGAACAATGAAGTTTTATTTCAGCATCTTTTTCATCTGAAAGGAAAGGGAAAATTTGGTCCCTTGGGCTGAAGTTTTCCTGAAGCTTTTCAGCTTTGGGCTGAAACTTTTCACAGTAGTCAATGCCACTGAGTTAACCAGCCATTATAAGTACCAGCCGAGTCCTTTCGTGATATCATTAAAAATGTTTTCAGAGTTCTCTTGCTTGCAGAGAGGTATGAATTGATACCTACAGGACTGTTCATTTACGACACCCAAGATTGCGGTGAAGTTAGTTTAATTCAGTGGGTACATCCACCTAGTAGTGAAAGGCGAGTACAGCTTGGATAGCAAGCAGTACCCACGTCTGCTTCAGTCCAGCTAATACGTGTGTCAACAGCAGTGAAGGGTGGTGTCTCTGATGTGGCAGTTTGTTGCAGCAAGCTTGTTGACCAAGACATTTCCTGGAGGTGTTTTTGTTTTGTTTTGGTGTTTTTAAAAAAGAGAGCATGGGAGGCAGAGACAGGAAGCTGCTTAGCTGTGAAGATGTGTTTGGGTCTCTACAGCTGTACCACAGACATGGATAATCTTTGCAAACAAAAGTTGGTTTGTCGCTGTCATTACTTTTAAAATGTTCTTTGAAACTTACAAAACAAGCAGGACTTAATTTATTTAGCTTCATTTTTTTACGCATTTCCCCTTTTTCTCCCAGTCAATAAAGCAGTAATCCCAACTCAACCACAACACCCTTAAAGTAATTTCAGGGAGGAGACCGCTGCTGAACTGCAACCTCGGAGGTTCTGTGGGGCGTTCTCTCCTGGCAGAGCACCGACTCCATCAGGCACTTGTTCCGCAATCCTCCAGGCCGTCGCTGCTGCCAGCAGGGCAGCTCTATGACTCCAACCCCAACTTGTCCCCCGGCACTGGGAAGAGGCTCAACAATCACATCAGATACGTTCATATTTTTGCATCTGTCAGAAATGGCCAGAATAGGACCAGGTGGCAGGTTTTAACAAGGACCTTCCCCTCAAGTTTCCTATGCTGCATCGCACTTTCATGACTAGGTAACAGGAAGCTAACCACATATACTCAGATGTACTTTCCATCGTTGCATCTTTACTGAAGCCAGTTTGTGGCTCTCTAGCATGTTCACAAATGAGTTCAGTGTTTAAGAATTGTTTTTTAAAAACAAAAACCCCCTTTGTTTTAATAGAAGCTTGAAGTGTGTGTGGTAGGGAGGGGATGGGATGACAGGGGGGGGGAAGGTGTTGAGTCAAATCTGTGAATCATACTGCCGCAGCCTTTTTTTGTTTTGTCCACTTTTACCAGCAACACATTGTTGTAGTTCTGTGCATTCTGGCTGGTTTCCTCATGTCGGCCTCATTTTTTCCCATCTGTAAAATGGTTACCTCCCTGACAGGAATGTTAAGAGCATATGAACTCACTTTGTTCTGAGCCTGAGCATCAACTGTTTGGAGACTGATTGAATATACTACTGACAAAAGACCCACATGGGTTGTACTTCAGCTTTTAAGTTTTATTTTGTATAAACAACTTAAGACTACTTTTGTTAAGGCAGTTGTAAAACATAGAGTTTCTTGGGGTCAGGGGGAGGGCAAACACTGAGGCCTAACAAGACACTAATTCTCTTAACACAATAAAACCAGAACAGTTTTATTCTTTTTCAGTTTGGCAAATACCCTTTTTTCTCCTTTTCTTCTTAATAGGCAGAACGGTGCATTACAGCTAACCCAGCAAAAGGCACCAACCAGGTGTTAAAAAGCAGTGGCAGGAGAATTGCTTAGTCAGACCAGCAACTTTTACAACAGTGGGCCAGTTGGCTTCAGCAACACAGAGGCAGGGGGGGAGGGAGGGCAGGGAGAGGGCTTTACCTGTGTCCCTGCCAGTGTCTCAGAGCTGGGAGCTGTGCCCAGTGCAAGCACAGCTCGTAGGCAGAAGGTAACTAGCTGGGGCCAGGGAACTGGAAGCTGTTTCCATGCTGCTCCTATTTCTCCCTGTCCCTGCAGCTGGAAGCTGTGCCCAGGCTGCAGCCTTGGGGGAAGTTTGGGGTGGAGGGAAGTGGCAGTAGCATAGGCACAGCTTCCAGCTCCAGGGCAGCTGCTCATTTCCAGCATGGGTGCAGACACAGGCCAAACCCTGCAGTTCCATGGACTAGCTGTAGTCCATAGGTCATACGTTGCTGGCCCAGGCTGCTGTGCATCTGATGGTGTAATCCAGGCCTCCCACGTAACTCAGTAGGGCTTGTTGAAGGGCATGGAAGGAAGGATCTGGACTGAAATATTTGAGCCCATGTCATTACCAAATGTCTGTCCCAGAGGAAACAAGCCACACTTTCACTGACATGCATTACTGGTCGCAGGGGGCACTGCACGCACTGAGAAGAAACAAATCTAAGACTCGAGGGTTAAGCATTTTTTAATCAACACCCTAGTGGCCCTTTAAAAGATGAAATACTGGGCAGAGTACCTCTTAACTAATGCAGTTGCTGTTCAGCTATGAGTAGCATATTCCTATGGTGTGAAGCAGACTTAAGATAGTCTTAGTGTTCGATCTGCAACAAGGCTTCATTGGCTGTTTTATTTACTCTGATGAGGTGGCATGAACAGCCTTTTACTCTCCCCTAGGGACTCTGTTTTCAAAATGATGTAGACAGGCTGTGTTACACACACTGGCTGGCTGGCTGCTGGGAGCTAAATGGTCCTTACTGTTGTCAGAAATATGTTGTCTGTGACCCTGCAGCACAGCTGATTGTCTAGCAGTAAGTTACTGTGCTATTCTAGTACAGCAACAGTGCAGCTGGCTTCTTCCTCCACCCCTATGAAAGTACTAAGCTCAGGCAAAAGTAGAGTATCAACAGAAGAATGATTCGGTTGAATAAAACAATGAGGGCTGCAGTTGCAGTCTGCACACACTTACTTATTTTGGTGGACATGCAATTAGGCCCTACCCTTTCCCATTAAGGATCATATCATCTGATGCTTTATCAATTTCAAGCCAGCATCAGTGAGAGTAAGATTGGCACCAGTCACTCAGTCATGTTCCTCCCTTCATGCTTCATAAACTGCCACCTAATATTAGGGAGATGGCAGCACTCCAGTGGTTCTTCATCAGTGAGGTGTTAGGAGATACTGAACAGCAGATGCCTAGTTCATGGCACATACTGCACTGTTTTGCTATTTTTGTTTTTTCTAACTTACCTTTTTGGTGGAATATTTTTTCATCGTAAAAGGTATTTTACCCTTTGCAAACCCCGTCTGATACATCTGCAGCAATTTACCACTAGCTACTCTTTGTTTGTTAGAACACGTCATTCACTGTTGTCTTGTTTTCTCAAGGATTTGCAGCATATGCTTCTTTTATACTGAGATATTATAAAGATGCAAAAACTGCACATTTTCAGTTATTTTCCCTTTCTTAAAATAGAACAGCTGTGCAAAAGGACGCTAGACTATTTTGGTAAGGGTAGAGAGGATGGTATCCTCTCAAAATGTGATGCTCCTGCAAAGTGCAGTCCCAGAGTCTTGAATGCACATGCAGTTGTACAGCTCCAGAATTGTTACCCAGTTAGGAGGTCTATATCCTCTGGGTGCAAAACTCATTGGGAACGTGTTGAGTCAAACTGAGATCTGATGCGACAGACCTCCACGGAGCTACAACCATTCACACTAGATCTTGTATTACCAAGCATGCTTAGAGAAAATAAGCATGTAAAAAAACCCCAAAACAATGTAGACCAGAAAGTTAAATATGGTTTGCTGCTTACATAGCCCAGAGGTACTGTAACAAAGTGTACAATGCATAAAGTGAGAGCTTTTGGAAGCTATGTTCTGGGAGCTGAATTTTGCAGGGAGCTGAAACCAAGCCCTCCCCCTCACCTTACAAGGCCAAATGGAAAATGTCATGTATATCCCAAAGAAGCAACAGAAGAGACAGATATAGAATGGGGTGGGGGTGAGTGGGCAATGTTTTTATTTGTTTTTTTAACACACACTTATGGTTGCTTTGTTACAGTGCCTGCTGTTAGTTTCCTTTTCTACTGCTGCAGGCAGTGCCTCAATGCATTAATAAGTCTTTTCCAAGCTAGAAACTAGGTGGTTTCTCCTGTATCAGTAGTATTCAGTCTATGCCTTCCTCCTAGTCCTAGTCATTATGCCAGTGGGCTTAGGCCAGTCCAGAACTGGTCATTAGAACATTGATATACTCAAAGCCCAATTCCACTTCCTACGATGCAACTGAAAAGCAGGGACAGACTCTTACACACTTGCATCCCTCCCTCCTTTGCCCCACAGCAGAAGCTTGGTCTATGGATCTCATATGAAGGCTTTATACATACAGAAGAACTCTTGAAACTCTTTTGCTCCAGCAGGGTTATTTCAGTCAGATTGTAGTGTAACCAAGTGAAGCATCACTTTGTATTTAACAGTGACATTATTACATTGTGAATGCACAGTCTAGCTGTAAACAGGCATCCATCTTAATCTTCTGGCAATGAAGTCTCCTCTGACCTAGTTTGCCAATCTTTAGAGCAGGTTGAGAAGAGCCTGCTGTCACCCCCAAGCCAATGCCTAGGTGAGCCTTTTGCTGTACTCACGCTAGATGTATGTTTTTCCTCAACCTACAAGAGACGTCATATGAAACCAACCAAAATAGACGCACGCAAACCCAGTGTGAAAAGGGGACTGGAACAAGTGCATGTCTCACCAACTGTGAAATTCCAGGTCAAAACCCTAGAGTGGGGAAAAAAGTAGAAATAAAGAGCACAAATTCAGGTAACTACAGCAGCCATTCACCCCATCCTGCCTTCCTCTCACTTGAAGGACCATGATATGCACTTTAAAGTTTTCAGAAGTTGCATCTGTTCCCTTTGGATTGAAGCAGTCTCTGGAGCTATTACTTGTGTTTCTGCTTGTTGTCGTTGTTGCCGTAGGTAGAGCCCTTGTTGATTTCTGTCACCCCAATCATCCATCGGACACCAACAGAAGCTGCAAAGAGAGGAAGTTATTTTAAAAAAAACCAAACAAACCTGAAACACCCATGTCAGCTAAGGAGCAATTAAAATATACAAGCCACAGAGATCAGGTTATAAAAACGAGTGGTGTTGACATTAGCAGCATGGTGATGCAGCATTCCTAACAACACTCATCCTACAGCACTCTCCATCCAGAGGTCGGGGGAGGGCAAATTCACTAACTCCCATTTAACCATCACAAAGGCAGGATGACTTAGTCACACAGCAGACTCAGGGACAGGAGGCAGAGAAAGAAACCAGCTCTCCTGCCTCTTAGCATAGCAAGCTCACCCCAGCCCCATGAGCAGCCCATTGGGCATCTGATAACATAAGCAGCCAGAGTGGTCATCATTGCTGGTGCACTTGCTTGTACACTAAAGCCTGACCACATGTCAAGAGGGAGGTCCATTTGGGGCTTGTTTATGTGGCTTTACTCCACTGTGAGCACTTGGTCTGGCCAAGTGGAGTCACATGGGCATCTGCACCACGAAGGCTGCAAGGGAATTTTTATTTTGTTTCCTCTCTTTTCCCCTGACAAAAACACAATGAAAACATTTTCAAGTAATATCTATGCTCTCCATTAGCTGGAAAAAACAAGCAAGTGCTGCGGTCTCTTAACTGGTTCAGCTGAGTACAAGTGTTTTGCTAAGATTGCTCCAGTATGGGTGGTGTTTGCTAGGTATTCTTTGATGGTTCATTAGCAAGGGCCATACTAAAAAGAATTTCAAGGTTGTCACCATAACCAACAGCTCAAGTAGCTTATCCCCTCCCTCTACAATGAGATGAAATCTGGATATAGGAGGCCACAACACTGGCTTCATGGGGTCATTCAACCCTGGAGAACCTGCTACTGCTGCTGCTACAGCTGGGCGTGGCCGATTTGATGCTGGTGACTGAAACCTCCTTGCCTTCTCCAGTTATTTCAGTCGACTGGCAACCAACATAATGGACAGCAAGACTCTTACGACTGGGTCAAGCTTCTGTACAACATCCCCAGAATCAGAAGGAAACACAGGTGCCCTTTGTTTTGCGTGGTCTCTTACCAGGGGGAATCGTTATGAAACGTTTCCCTTTATTATAACAACAAAAAAGCCATTTCCTACAGTTTCCAAGTCTGCCCTACCCTACAGGTGCCCGCACAATGTAAAGGAAGAAATTCCAGTTGTCAGTAGTGTCCAACAAAAGGAAGACACTGGGGGAGGCAGGCTGAGGGACTGCTCAAGTGTATAGGACAGCCAATGCAATAAAACCCATGTGGGATAGTCACTATGACTGCAGAAAAAAACAAGCCCAGACTTGGTATTGCCTCTTAAAAGCCTGCAGGCTGGATCCAACTTGCAGAGATGGTGAGGAGAGGAAAGGGGGTGCTAACTCTGTGGTGCTACACTTATGTGCCTGGGAGAAGTGGCAGTGGTGGCTGGCCTGACTCTGCCCTGAGCTGGGTTATTTCTGCCTGGAAAAACGTTGCCAACTGCTGGCCTATATCAGTGGTTTTCAACCTTTTTTCATCTGTGGACCCGTTTCAAATGGAGGTGCTAGATCCCTTTGAATTGTACGTGTGGAAATTCACATATTTTTCCTTGATCATAGTCATCTTTTGCAGACCCTTTATACAGAGTCTCTAGACCCCAAGGGTCCACCGACCACAGATTGAAAACAACTGGTTTAGATGGTTCCTGAAGACAAAGAAAGAAAAAAAGCTGGTAGGTTGTTGACCTGCTACAAGAAGTCAGTCAACAATCGCCGCTTGCCAAATAATATCTATATCATCTCTCCTCTGCCCTAGCCTCGGCCCTGCAAAGGAGGAGTTTGTTACATCCTGTTCAGCCAAGCCCAACCACTTCTGCCTTGCCCCCACTAAGGGTCCTTATCTGTGACCCACTCCTGCCAGCTTCTCATGGGTGGGAGCCATCTCCAGCACCCCTGCAAAGCACTTTCACTTGGGAGCTGGGCACAGCAGAAGGCTCTCTGCCATTCAGACAGGCTAAACCCCATTTGAGATTGTTCGGCAACAGAAGAGCTGCAGCAGCTGTGCCCTTATACAACAAGATGAAGTATGGAGCAAACATCAAAAGCATTTTCATTTAATTAAAAAGGTGGGGGCATCCAGTTGGTTACAAACAGTTTCCTTTGCTTCTCAAGGGTATGACATATTGTAGTGCATCACCAGAAACAGGCAGAGCGTTCTCAGATGACAAACTAGGTGCCACAGCACGCATCTATCCCATTTGTGCCAGCCAGCCCCACCATGCGCAATTTCCTGAAGGCTTAGGGGCAACCAAAGCTCAAATGATTTCACTTACTATATTCAAGCCTTCATCAAGGTGACAACTAGCAGAGTCCTGGAGAAAAAGAAAGGTAAAGGAGAAGAGAAGGGGAAGGGAAGGCAGGGGAAAGGAAAAAGACAGACAGACATCTGGACGCACTCATGCACAGTTTTTTTGTTTGTTTGTTTGTTTTTTACAGCTACATGCTCTTAAAAGCCAAGTCCACACCCACTGAATCCCAAGGAAGTTCCAGGGTCTTCAATGAAGGTTGATAAGACCTATAAATACTGAGCAGGTTGCTCATAAATTAGTGATGCCCTTGTTTTTGCACCAATCCGAAGTAGGCAAGGAACTCTGAACATCCTTCCCTATACTATCAATTCATCTCTCACTGAGGCACCTGCAAAAAGGACAATGGCTCCCTTTTGGCCATGCTACAGTTAAGCTCACTCAAATGACTATACTGTAGGCAATTAAAAGTATAACTGGTCTTCTCTGAAAAGAGTATTCAGCATCTGCTTTTGCTCCAGTAGGTGAAAAATGGCCAATAATGGTTCCCAGGAGTTGCTAAGTACTGAATAAATTATAATCCTGTTGCATAAAAGGAGCCCCTAAACGTGTAGATGCTGAAAGGATGGATGACTACTAGCTCTCCCTGTTTAAATCCCAGGCAAGCTTTTTGAGGCTGTGGCTAGTCAAGCAGGTTGTACCAAATGCAAAAAAACAGAGATAGGAATGCCCAGACAAGTCAAAGTATTAACCATTGGGATGGACACGCATGGGAAGGTGCTTCTGGACTCCTCCCCACCCAGAATTAGAGGAAAAAAAAAAAAGACAAGTAAATAAGCTATAATTCAAAGTTTTCAGGAGAGGTATCTCAGGGCTGGAGAGAAGCTTGCAACACACCCTTCCTTGGGAATGAAAAAGTTAAAAGGAAGAAATCAAGTCTATAGACTTGTGCATCTTCCCTGATGGGGAGCGGGGCAGCCTTTGATTGCAAACCAAACAGAAAAAATACTTGGACAAGAGAATGGACTCTGAGGGCACATCCAGACAAGAGCACATGCATTTTTCCAGGGACAAATAGCAGAGGCACAATATTGTGCTACTGCTACTTGTGCCTGGGGAAACACCTGCGCACATATGCTCTGGTACATGTCAAGTTACCCCAGGTGGGGTAGGGGAGGCTGGGCCCAGCACCTGGGGGCCTCCTGGGGCTCCAGAGATGGCAATCCAGCAGCAGGGAGCCTGGCTGGCAGCCAGAGCATGGCTCTGACCAGCCAGGCTCCGGTTTTGGGTAGCACACACTGCCACCACATGCGCCGATTCGCTTTTTTCTGGTGTGGGGTTTTTTTTTTTTACACTGGAATCTCCCAGTGTCAAGATAACCCCCTGCACTACAAATTAGCTGTCTGGACATGCCCTAAAAGATAGATCTGAATTCATTCTAACCTTCTCTTTGAGTACAGATTAACTGATTCATTCCATTTATGGGGCTATTTAATCTTACAGGGATGAAGCCAGAGAGATGACCTCCTCACACCTGCAAAGACGGTTCCAGCAGAGGTGCGATGCTGTAATATGGCAATTCCTGGTTGGGACTCTACAGTTCTGGTCCCTTGTCCCCAACTTCTCCATATAACCATGTACAAGCAGCTTAACCAAATTCTGCTCAGTTAATTCCTCCTGGCACTGATGTTCTCCATTGCTTCAGATTTGGCCCAATGACACCTCAAATTTACCATAATGTTGATCAGGTAGTGAAACTCATGTAACAAGGCCCAATGGGGACACGTGGGAGGAGGGAAACCACAAGCAATGTGGCACAAGAATGGTTGCTGAATGGCTGGTGTTGTGAAGGTATGGGCACAGCCTTAGCTTCGTCTCATTCCACCTCTCCCTGCTCCCTTTCTTTATTCACGCACCTCTCCCTGCTTTATTCACGCAGTCAGGGGAGGTACAGGACCCAGTGCAGCAGTGAGCTGCAGGGGGAGGAGAAGCTCTACGGCCATTTACCTCTAAAGAGATGCATCACAATTTGGTTAATGGTGTAGGGCAGCATGGGGGGAGGGGGAGCTTGTCCAGTCCCCCTCACTCAGTCAGTCTATGGCTAGAGTGCAAAGAAAGGACAAAGGTTGATTCCTTAACCTCTTTAGGCAACACAGCAGTTACTTTAAGAGTTAAAACACCCATTTATGCAGGCCCAGTGTTGGGCCTTAGTTCTCATTCAGGCAAAACCATCAGAGACAGTTTCACCCGAGTAAAACATGAAAGACTAGGTTCTGGAAGTTCACCAAGGTGTTGAAAACCTGCCTACAGCCACCAGTAATGTATGGTACAACTTGAGGGTGTATCATAAGTGCACGGGAGGTCGCAGGTGATCCCAGACCCCATTCCCCACTCCCTCAGGGGGACTTATTCTAAGAGCTTTAAAATCTGGGAGGGAAAAAGCAGCCTATTAGTTAAACAGCTTAGTCACAGTATTGGGCCATAGATAGACAAATGTGCAAGTACAAAGAACAGCCACAGGACTGGACTAAGATATGTGAACACACAGAGATGCATACATCAGGCCATATGCCTTCTATACTGGGGTAGGGGTAGGGCATAGCCAGGGGCAGGCACCAGCCTCAGGTGCTGATTTAAAGCACACCAGAATAGCAGCCCCTGGGGAGTCCATGCCACACCACAGCAGCAATAGCCTGCG